TTGGTTTTTCTCCGGTACCGGGAACCGAACTCACGACCTTGCGCTTGCCAGGCAGGCGCTTTTGCCGCTGAGCTAAATCCCCAGCCCCTGGAAGTGGTTTTAAAAACCTAAGGTGGATAATAGTTTATTGGAAACAGTTAAAATATTTGTAGATAGTATTTTATTAAACATCTATGTTAAGTATTATATAAAATTACATTGTCATTCTCTTGAACATTTTAAGTTGTGTCACTGTTTATTATTTATTCTTCAGTGTATATGAATTTATCCCTGTTCTAATTATGCTCCTAAGCAGGCTGAGATGGGAGAGAAGACAAGGACAAAGAAAATTTTATAAAAGTGAATAAAGTGAAAAACTTGAAAACAACCACTAAAAGAGGTAACATGTGAAAGGGGTAAAGTTTCAAGCACAAAGTTTATAAAGAAAATTTTGTCAATGAAGAAGCAAGAATCAAAAAGTAAAATAATAATATAAATATGAAAAGAAACCTATGGGAAGCACCCAAGTGTACCTAATGAAACAAGGAAATATGGACAACTACTATGAAATATAAAAACAAATACAAATAAAATCTTTCCAAAGTGCTTAGAGCCTTAACCCAAGGCATCCCTGCAGCTCCCTCTGTACTCCAGCTCAAGTTTCATTGAGAACCCATAGTTTCACCATGTGGACTAGGCAGTTTCATGTGCACAGTATAGAAGATGATTTTTCCCTCCAAACATGTCCTGCTTTCAAGCCATGCTTCAGGCATGAGTCACTGCAGCCTCCCTTGACCCAGTTGCCTTGGTCATCTGGTCAGCCCATCCTGGCCCACTTCACTACTCCTTGGCCATAGTAGCAGGAATGAATTGAAGCAGATCAGGGACAGTGATCCACGTCCATCCTCCTTTTTCCATGATTATACTCATAGGGAGGCTGAAGTGCAGAACAAACTTCAAACTTCTTGGATACCTTCTTTATGTTACTGCACTGGTTCACTTACTCAATAAAATGATATGCTGTTTGAAGCATTGTTAGTTTCTGCAGTAGTCTTAACAATCTCACAAGGAAATGAAGGAAAAGATGGCCCAAAACTGTATTATTTCTGGGTTTTATTGCTCAAAGCGAAACAGTAAAGCCAAAATGTAACACATACATGTTAAAAATATTTCTTTGTTATTGCAGTATTCACACCAATGATACCATAAATCAAAAATATATCTGTGCTTTTTTCATCTGTTATGTGTACTCATTAATTTTTACCTGAGATAAATTACTACTATTATAGTAGTTTACCTGTCCCAGGATAAATATCTATAATCAAACACTTCTCAGTTAAAGAAACTCAATCAGTGTTTGCTCACCTCTAAGACAATTTCTATAATCTTTCATGGGCTCCCAGAGTGGGCTGAAACAGTCACATTGGCATTTTCTTCTATCATGTTTCTGAAAAGTGAACCCTGAAAACGCCACTACAACACCCCTTCTTCCACAGCCCTGCACAGTCATTCATCTTCTATGAAGGAAGATTTTGCTCCATCATGAAAGAGCAACAGCACACTAAACATCATTGAATGGATTTGTACAAAATCCAAATGTATGATAATCAATATTTCAATAATTTAAAAATGTACTTTATATGAAAGGTATCCTCATCCATTTTTAAAAGTTTAGATAGTGGTAATAATTATCCCAATACTCCTGTGTAATAAATGATTCTTACCATTTTTGGAAAAGTAAAATTTTACAACCCATACAAAATATTATGCACATTTTCAAAGTTGTAAACATTTATTTTCCTTTTCATACAAAATTTTTAGAATTTCTAAGTCCAGAATATTAACTTGTGAATATTTAAGATTGTTTAGAAGACACCTTTTTTTCTACACAAAGATATCACAAAGTTACACAATTACAGATAGGAATTCAATATAAGGGTGTGCACAGTTTAGATACTCTACCACTGAGCTACATTTTCTACCTTTTCTCTTTGTTTAATTTTCATTTTAATTTTTGTAGTACATGTATGCAATACATGCATTTAGTTTCAACTTGAGGATTAGGTCCATGAATATGCCACAGCTTGTACATTTTTTACTAACCTCCTTCTACCTTCCCACTTATGTCCCTTTCTCTGTCTCTAAATTTCCTTACTCCATTTTCTTTTTCTTTTTCTTCTTACTCTTTACTTATGTTGAAGGTAAATATTTTACGTTCCTTTTCGGTATTTGGTACCCATACATTGAACATTATAAATCTTCTTTCCCTTTCCTTTCTCTAAGACAGAGTCTTCCATGGTTGCCCAGGTTGGTGCCGATCTTCTATAATCCTGCCCACCGTCCTAGTGCATGAGCACATCAACACATGTCCTAGTACATGAGGACATCAACACAGGCCCTATGATTTCCTTAAGTTTTACAAAAACTTCAGTCACATTTGCCTGAGTATAATTTGACCTTAGTTGAAACTGAAGTTTGTCTTTTCCACGTCAGTCTCCGTTGATCTTGCTAATTTTAACTAATTTCCTTCTCATTAACTTTACAGATCAATAACAGTGCATCTGTTACCACTTTATTTAATGAAACACTATTTTTGAAAATGCAAATGAATCTTCATTCTTTTCAAACAGAGGTTTTAATAAATGTGAATTCTTAAGAGGTATGATAAAATGTATAAGCAAACACCAAAGTGGAATTATTTCAGGAATTATGAAATTAGAATTGAACACTCTTTAATGTTTCACTGAAATAAAATAGCAGATCAGGAAAGAAACAGTATTGTAAAATGTTGAGAACCATCTCCCCACACCTTTATCCTAAATGGTAAGTTAAAGCACAGTAATCTGGCCCTGCATGCCTACCACTTATAGATCTCAACCAGCTCTACTCCTTCTTCTTCTTTCCTATCTTAACAATCTTCTGATAACAAAACAAGCAACATTTTGTGACAAGGAGAGTAACGGTCACCACACAAGCCATCAGGAAGCCAATGACATCCAAAGAGTGGTACTGGTACCAGGTGAGGTTCTGGGCGAGTGGCCGCAGGTGCTTGGCCTCTTTGTGACGCATGACAAACTCTATCCAGAAGACTGCTCGGTCCAGGGGCTTCACTGGCTGGTCATGGTGAATGGTCGATAACCTCATGACATTCTCTTTAAAGCTAAGAAAATTAAGGAGACATCAACTTAAACATTGAATGAAAAAATAAATGCATATTGTTTGTAGATAAGTATATGTAGACCTGATAAAATTGAAAGAAAACCTTGTCCATAGTTTTCTTCACTGAAATGTTACAGATGCTAGGACTTTGAAATTTTTG